TGTGAAATATTTAAGTAGAAAAATGAAAAATTATTTTATTCTAAAAGATTTATTCTCCAATAATCGTTGAAAAATAATTTTTACAGTGTACTTCACTATAGTGTACTAAATCAGTTTTGAATTGATTCATTGAAACAGACAGTTTGAACTGATTTACGCAAATGAATCAAACTTACCCTAATATCGTTTTTGCTACTGACATTTAAATCAAAGACGTTATTAAAATGTCTCATAAAAAATGTGATATTTGATGTATATCACCCTGCCCTACCGTTTTTTGTTTTTTTTCCCTTACATTCTCTCATATGCCCTCTCTGCAACTGCGGTGCAGACTGCCGGTCCTCACCCATATCCACTCAGCTCATTGTTCAGCGGGTAGCCGATTCATCACTACTAAATAAAATAAGGAAGGGGAGAGAAAAGCGCATACTCCAGCACCAGAATGCAATCTGTCATCCCCCAGCATCTCTCCTCTCACTCCTTCAGCTCTGCTAAGCTCCTCTCTTTCAGCTGGAGCCCTTAAATTCAGCCTCACTCCTTTGAAGTGTGTTGCTAAAGGCCGAGCGTTTCCATACGGTGCTGTTTGAGAGCCCTGAACTGGTCTTTCTTAGAGGCTGTGAGTATGAGCTCGGTTCAGGCCCATTTAATAGTGGATTGGAAAGAAACAGGGTCTGTGCCTTAATTTGCTTAAGCCTAGTCTCATTTTCCTGCGCTAGGCACACAATTTACATCATCACTTATGTGCCTTTTCCAGCCTTCCCTGCGTGTATCCTAGTGATTTAGTGCCCTTGGATTTGACCTCTTGATCTTTATCATCCTCATCTTCACCCTGCACCCCTGCCAGAAATAGGATCAGAACAGAGAATAAGATCAGGACATGTTGCCAGCCAGACTCGAACTAGAGCAGACACCAACCGACAAGTTGTAAGTTTTACCACTGCTTGATAAATTTGGAGTCAGTTTGAAGGAAACTTCCTCACTCAGTCTATTCCAAAGATAATTAAATAATTGAATTTAATTAGCATTTATTTGCTTAAAAAAGATTGCTAATTTGCATTATAATTCCTATATTTTAGTCAAGTGATTCGTATAGTGCTTTTCAGAAGGCATAAATTGTTTCAAAGCAGCTTTACAGGAAGTTATTTTGTATCAAATTCATGCTGTAAAGTCACATTTTTATTTATTTTAAAAAGATAGCTAATTTATTAATTATTCTCTCTATTTTTAGTCAAGTTAGGTCATTTGTACAGCACTTTTGAGAATACATATTGTTTCAAAGACGCTTGACAGGAAGTTATATTGTATCAAAGCCATACTACAGTCCCTACTGAACAGTTTGAAAATCATGCCACAGTGCATTTGCTTTTATATCAATATATTAGACAAAATATGAAACTCAGATCAGTTTTCAAGAGCATTATGCTATGCACATTCATACAGTTAGACTAACCACAGATTGATTGATTGGTTATTTATTTATTTATTTATAATGTTTTAGCGCCCATGTTTTAGTAATGTTTTGTTACTTTGAGATTTGCTGGAATTAATTTTGTTGTTTTTTATACGAAAACAATAGGGTGACTTGTCTACTAAAGCATGTAACATTTTGTTTGGCTATTTATTTTCAAGATACAAAGTGAGAGAGTTGAAATTGAAGTTGAAGCAAGGGCAGGCAGGTCGGAACACATGAGTGCAGAGCTCTTTGAGGATGTACTGAGAGGAAACCAGGCCAGGCTTAAGAGCTGCAGAGACTAGCAGCAAATCTGCCCTGAGACTGAACTGACAATCACGTAGTGCTGCCACGGGGCTTTTGGGAACAGAGAAGAGAGCTGAGACTCCAGAGCTTTGCTTTGTTTGTGTGTGTATGTTTAAATATGTTTATATATGTGTGTGACCCTGTGTGTTAGTGTTTGAGTGGAAATGAGAAAGCCATTTGAAGCTTGTTAAGGATTGGGGTGTAATGTTTTATGTAGTCCATTTTGAGGGCATAATCTGTCTACGAGCTGACTCTAGGTAAAGACCCGAAGGACCATTTCATAACGCTAAGAGACATAAAGTGGGTGCTTGAAAAGATTGGAAATGTTAGAAGGAGAGGGAGATAAAGAAGAAAAAAAGCATTATATAATCCCCTTCCACATATTTAGCCCAATCAAGGGGCTTTAGTGTTCTTTGTTCCTCTGACCTAATGCAGATGCTTTGTGTATTAGTTATGAAACATCTATTTATTTTCCGCCAGTCTCAGGGGAGTCCTGCACTTAGCGATTTGTTTGTGATTATTTCCGTTTGTTTGTCTCTGCCTTTTTTCAAAGGAGAGTAGCTGCGGTTTAGAGCCACACGCACAGGTTTATGCAATGGCTCGCTGCAGCACAGGGGGCAGCAAATGTGTTGCTGCATGAGGAATCACATGAGGTTGCTATAGATTTCTGTCATTACACACCCTGCGTCCAAATATGCAAAAAGGAATATGTCAAATAGGACATTAGAATGCTCAGAATTCATGATATAGTAGGTGAACACTGCATCTGTGAGCTTGAGGGATTCTAAAGTGTGCAACCAGTTGACACTTTGCTGTTCGATTAAGCCATGGAAAATGAGGAACTGCAGTAGTAAAAATAGTTTTTTTTGCGGTTTCTGCTGGCACACCATGGTCAAAGTGTGCATTCACAGATTTAAAGACAATGTGGCATATTATAATATATCTGTTTTATTTTATTTTATTCTTTTTATTTATCTTGTTAGAGCCCTAGTTGTTTTTTGTTTTGTTTTTTGTTCTTTCTTACATATTTTTCTTTATATTTATCTTGTCACAGCCCTAGTTTTTGTTTTGTTTTGTTTTGTGTTTTGTGTTTTGTGTTTTGTGTTTTGTGTTTTGTGTTTTGTGTTTTGTGTTTTGTGTTTTGTTTTGGCGCAGCCCTACTTATTTAGATTTATTCTTAAAACATCTATAATCTACCAACATTTTAGAATCATTAAAATAAGTTAAAAATGAAACGAACCAGCCAAAAAACATCAACACATGTTGTCCTGCATTATTTCCTTTGCCTACTAGGATATTAAACAATTCCTATTAAATTTTATGTTTGATACTCTAACTAGGACCATATGTGCTTTGACAATGACCAAAGATGCTTGAGGATTTACCGTACAGTGCCAGTGTATTAGTTGCAGTAAGGTATGGATAGACTGATATATGATCACAAACCCTACAGAAAATCACAAAGCACAGCTTCCCAAGCTGAGTGTGGCATTCCTGCATTGTTAGCAGATAGAACTGATTTCCACACAGTGAGATTTTGCAGCTTTTCTGCACTGTTGTCTTTTTTTGTTGCTTTGCTGAAGAACAATGCTGATCTGTTATGTGTGTGGTCTGCGTGTGTGTATAAGCCCGGTTTTGGATGATGATGATGATGTTATGGGTTTGTTTTCGGGCCCAGTTGGCAATTGTGGAAGCATTAGGAACGGATAAAGCTTTGATCATCGGTGAGGTGTGTCTGTGTGTTCGGGTCCAGATGGTTGCTTGCGGGCAAAGGTGCAGTCTCGCTGTTTGTTCCACTTTAGTTCTGCAGTTTCTCTACATCTCGCTCTATATGATGAGTGCAAGTCATGCCCGGGGCAAGTGAACTCCAAACAACTCTGATCCGCAGCGTGTACTGCATGTTCAGTCTCGGTAATTCATAGCTTCATATCTCTGCAGCAATCTCCCCCTCTGCGCTCCACACACGCTCTTATTCTTACGCACTTCTCCATATCTCTCTCTCTCACTCTATCTTCCCCCCTCCCTTTCCTTCTCTCCATCTCTCTTCCTCATGTGCGATCGCACCTCTCTCTTCCAGACAGTTTGTGTCCTCACATCTCTGTTTCTTGCTGTCTTCCGCTCCATCCTTCCTCCTCTCCGTCTTCCCCGTTACCTCTCGTTCTACCGGGAGCCGGCGGTCTGAAACTCTGCCGGAGCCGGGACGGCCACTGGAAATGCTGGGTTCCTGGTCTGCCGAAAGGATTAAGCGGAGTGGACAGCTGGCAGATGATCAGAGTGAGAGCGGCAGCTAGGACTGGCTCGTATTTATTTAGAGGATTGGAAGATTGTGCAGATATTGGCCGAGCGCTGCGGGACGGGGCCAGGAAGCCTCTGGGCTGTTTTGTGTAATGTGAAAACCTGCCCCGAGGGTGAGTGAGAGCCGAAGTGTGTCATCTTTTCGATGTTAAATTACTTAAGCTTCTCAGCTTCCTGTGCAGAGTCAACTAAGAAAGTAATTTTCCCCCAAAAAAGTGGAGACTTTGTCTATGTGGTGTGTTCAGTGTTGTTTTGTTTGCATGGGTGTCCTGAAAAGCCAGACTAATGGAGTTTAGGATGGAATGGGACCTTCTTGTTAGTTCTGAACAATGGAAACGTGTAAAACCTGTCATTTTTGCGATGCCGTTGCATGACTCTTCAGTATTGCACTTGCAGTTTTGTAATATATTGTTTTTTGCTAGTTCTGCTGGGTAGTATTTGTCCATTCTGCTTTGGTGATAGTCTAGCACAGTGTTTCTCAACCCTGGTCCTGGGCGCCCCCCAACACTGCACATTTTGTGTGTCTCCCTAATCAAACACACCTGATTCAACTCATGAGCTCATTAGAAGAAACTCCAGGACCTGAAATGGGTGGCAATACAAAATGTGCAGTGTTGGGGGGTGCCCAGGACCAGGGTTGAGAAACACTGGTCTAGCAGGTGGACCACCATGAGGTTCACCAACAAAAAATAGTGGTCAGTCACCATGGTCTTTCTGGTGAAGCTAGAAAGCCAATGACGTCTTACTGGTGAAGCTAGTTAAAAAGTTTGTATCTCAACATGGGTAACATCATCCAAAACACAACATGCTGGTATTTTCAACAGGAATGACAGTGGTTTCTCTGGAAAATGTGGGCTGTTTATGAGATTTTTCTGTTAATGGGCACTTAACAGTTGAATTTCACCTACGTTCACCAGTTGACTTAACCCCTCTGCTCTCTTGACCACAGGTCCTTTGGCATCTCGACATCTTCCGCCGAAGCTTCCGGCAACTGAACACCCACAAGTGCATGGAGGACTCGTGCATCTTCTGCGCTCTGAAGGTGAGTGTTACCAGGTGCTTTCTAAAAAAGGCCCAGTTGTGCATGCCAGTTCAAGAGGTGCTACCTTTTCAGAAAAGTAGCTTGAGGCTACAGGAATCTCCTAGTGTGCCCAGGCTGCTCTTCTAATGATCCAGCAAGGTGAGGGTAGAGGCTGCTTAGACTAATTGACTTCCTCGCTGACCTTACTGTAGCACAGGAACAGAATGAAAATGAGATTCTCAACATCAAAATCTCTCTGTCGCTCTTTTTCGAGGAAGTCTTTTTAATTTCCTGCCTGGAGGCTGATAGAGATGGGAGAGGAAGGAGGAGGAGAGGGAGATATATGCTAGGAAAAGCAACTCTGGTCTCTTTTTAAATAACAAGCAAAGGACTCTCACTCTAACAATATCCTGTTCTCTAGTCGCCCTCAGGCTAAAAGTAGCTGTGCTATTTAAAGGTGTCACATACCAGTAAGAAGTCACAAAACTGACATATTTCTTTAAGAGGCTCCTTGTTTTGTGTTAAAAGAAATCTTTGCCGTCAGATTTGTACTTGGCCATTTGTTTCCAAAAATACCAACGCTTCTTGTTGGCTGTTTGCGCCTGAGAGAAAAGGAGAGGTACAAATACCCTGATAGACTGAGAGGTCTTTTTCTTTCTCTACTTTGTGTCTGGGCTAATCTTGTTCTGGTGTTGGGTGATTTACCTCTTTATTTTATGTCCAGGCGTCTTGCTCTCTCTGAACTGAACGTTTTGTTCTTCTGCTGATGAATAGGTCCTGCACCTTCCGCTGTTTCCACAGCTACCTGTTACCTTGGCTACTCTGTGCTCTGATTGCCCATTTTCACGCCCATGTGACGCCATAAAGGCAGTCTGTGCCTCTTGGTGTTGGTTTCCTTGGAGTTGGTCATCTTTAGTCGTGAGATTCTGCATTGGTGGCCTGTTGGCTCTGTGGAATTGAGTCAAATTTAGATTAATTCATGCTGCTTCCTCTATGAGGATAGAGGAACTGTATGGTCCTGAGTCTTTAATGTTTATGTCTTTGGGTCTGGTTAATGGGTGGATAGATAAATAAGAAAGTAGGTATTTAAGTAGGTAGATGATAAAAAGAGAGATAGGAGTCCTGATGACCTTCTCTGGGTTTGTTTTGCAGTTTTAAAGATGACCAACCAGAAGAAGTATCTCAGTGACTTAGATACATGGATAGATAGATAGGTGGATAGATGCATGGATGAATGGATAAATGGATGGATAGAATCTCATTGCTGTGTGTTCTTGTCCAGTTTTCTCTGGGCTACTTTGTTGATGTGAAACACAAATAAGCTTGTGTGAAATCCATCACAGTGATTGAAATGTTCTCTCTCTCTCTCTCT